CCGAATGCTGCTTCCGTTATTACATACCTACCCATATAAATATAGATGTGGAGTGATATACGTCTTCAGTTCAGAAGATGACGAATATACGATTATTTCGAGGTAAAGAAGCAGTTAAGGAGATAAAGCGTTTAAAGATAGATGATGTTTTTCTCTATCAGTGGTACATCGATCAGGGCGTCTACTGCTACATTAGGTACCTGAATTCGAAACCTGCAGCATTTGCGCTAATATCAAGAATGAACTTCGATCCTCTAGATATTCATAAAAATCTTAAGATGCTGAATTACGTCTATACTTTACCGGAGTATCGAAGAAGAGGATATGCCGCCGAACTTGTGACTCACATCATTGGCGTTACTGAATTTTCAGCATTTTGTTCCAACGAGGAGTCCGAAAAATTGTTTGAAAAATGCAATTGCACAAATCACGGTATAGTAAATAACGCCGTAATGTTTAGATACCCTTAATAAAACACGTTTTGCATAAATTGTTTTTATTCCTAATATACCTATAAATAGATTAATGACCTATAAATAGAATTTGCTTATACCAACCTATATAACTTTCGCAACTCCCTATACATTTATTATCGAATTTATCGTAACGTTGAGTGGTATCATTGAATAAAAACACTATTTTTATTCAATGGTGGTATCTAGGAGGAGTTCGCTATATATGCGATACATTATTCAGATTTTTCCCATTCCAATTCGATCATTCGTTGAGATCAGTCGTATTGTATCTGTTGGTGCGAATTTATTAGTCGTATTTTATCTGTTAGTGTGTATTTTCTTAGACGTATTATATCTATAGGTGAGTTTTGTTATTAATATTGCTTTTATTATTTAGTATTTTGGGCTTTTAGACGTGCAAGATGTTTACCGATTTAGTAAAACAGATTGCAAGTATTTTAAGTGTGCTTAGAACTAAGTATAGTGGCAAAACCGTGAGGCAAGGGATAATTAAGTGTGATAAGGCTAGACGTAGAATTCAAGATTCGATGCGTAGGTCATTATCCATAGGTGAAAGGCAACATCTTGAGGCTTGTTTACGTAATATTAAATCGATGCGTAAACACTTTAAATTAGAACAAAGGAGAGGCTTGGGTATATCTTTGAATAAAGGAACCTCCACTTCGGCTTTTAGTAATAGAAAAGAAACCGCAAAAGATCGCGTGCATTGGGATGACTCCATTTCGGCTTTTAGCAATAGAATACGAACTGGAGTTATCACTAATCTTAAACATAAAGACCCCGGCAACTTCTTAATGGATTGTAAAACCATCTTCAAAAGCCGAATTCATAACGCGTTGAAGCAAGATGAGGCTGTGAAAGTAAATGCGATTTTTTGCGGGGAATTTGCGATTACTCAAGGTGAAAAGATGCTTAATGAGTATAAGTACTTTACAACATCAAATGCGGCAATATATAGGGGTACTGATATAGAAGAGTGGTTTAAGGAGAATGTTGAGAAACCGATAATGACCAAATTATCGGAGTTCCAAGACCGTGACAGCGGTTGGGCCCTTAAGGCTGTTATCAATTTAGGGGTTAATATTAACAAATTCACACCTCAACTTGGCTCTTCATATATTCAGCTACCTTCACAAATTCAATCAAAAAAGTCATGCGTTAACGTTAAGAATGATGATGATGCCTGTTTTGCGTGGGCGGTGGTTCCGGCGTTGTATCCTGTTGATAAAAATCCCCACAGAATGTCTAAATACCCTCACTACTCTTCCGTGCTCAAGCTTAAAGGGATCCAGTTTCCGATGACTATGCGACAAATTCCGAACTTTGAAAAACAAAACAACATCTCCATTAACGTGTATATTCTGAAGCAGGAGAAAAAAGACCAGTTTAATACGTTGCCTACCTACCTAACGAAGGAAAAGAGGGATAAACATGTGAACCTGCTTTTAGTGCAAGACTGCTACGAACAATCGACCAAGTTCCATTATGTTTGGATAAAAAATCTTTCACGGCTAGTATCGAAGCAGTTAAGCAAAGAAAAAAGGCAAAAGTATATTTGCGATAGATGTCTACATTTTTACCGTTCTGAAGATAAATTACATAAGCATATTAAGGATTGCATACAAAAGAATGATACAGCCATCAAGATGCCTACAGAGGAAAAAAAGATGTTGAAGTTTAAAAATTTTAAAAATAAAATAAAAGCCCCCTTTGTCGTATATGCAGATCTCGAGAGCGTTCTGAAACCTAGCACAAAAAAGACTGCATACCAACAACATATTCCAGCAGCTGTGGGATACTACTTCAAGTGCTCATACGATTAATCTCTTTCGTTCTACAACAGCTACCGCGGTGAAGACTGTATGCGATGGTTTGCTGACGAGATGAATAAGCTTGCGGAAGATGTCTACGGTGTTTCTTTGCCCCTACAAGATGCATATGACACCACAGCAGGAACTTGAATTTCAAGCAGCAACGCACTGCCATATTTGTGAACAGTCATTTAAATCTGGTCAAAAGAAAGTTCGAGATCACAATCACCTTATCCCGGAGAACAACTTCCGCGGAGCGGCATGTGAGGGATGCAACGTCAACTACCAGGACACTCATACAATTCCGGTGGTGTTCCACAACTTGAGTGGATATGATGCTCACTTTGTGGTAGCAGATATTGCCACTAGAATGGACGGCAAGATCGACTTGCTCCCTATAACCAAGGAGAAATATATTTCTTTTACCAAACACATCAACGAGTCACGCATATGCTTTAGATTTATAGACAGCTTCCGGTTTATGGCATCATCGTTAGATAAATTATCATCAGCTCTAACGAACTTTCCTAATCTAAAGTCACAATTCTCTACACTACCTGAAGATCAATTTAATATTTTAACTAAAAAGGGTATTATGCCGTATGATTACTTCGACTCGTTCGACCGTTTCGATGAGCTGTGTCTGCCTCCTCAAGATGCGTTTTACAATAAATTGGAAGATAAGCCCTGTCCCAGAAGAATGTATCGTAGAGCTCAGGAGGTGTGGAGCAGATTTAACTGCAGCAACTTGGGTCAATATGTTGACTTGTACATGAAGACTGATATTCTACTCCTTGCAGATGTCTTTGAACAGTTTAGATCAAGCTGTATTAGCACTTATGATTTAGATCCGGCCCACTATTTTACACTACCAGGCTTTACTTGGGATGCCATGTTGAAATACACGCGACAAGAGCTGGAACTCCTTACCGACCAGGATATGTTTCTCTTTGTCGAGCGGGGTATTCGTGGAGGGTTAAGTCAAGTCTGCTCTAAAAGAAGAGCTCATGCAAACAACAAATATATGTCCAAATATGATTCAACGAAACCGGATGTCTATCTAATGTACAACGATATCAATAACCAGTATGGCTGGAGTATGAGTCAATATCTTCCATATGGAGGCTTTGAATGGGTAGACTCCAACATCGATATCACTACGATTCCGGATGATGCAGATGAAGGCTACATTCTAGAAGTTGATTTGGAGTATCCACAGCATTTGCATGACGCTCACACGGATTTACCGTTCTGTGCATTACACATCAACCCGAAGACTATGAAACCGCCAACTGAAGCTGCGGAAATTTCAAAACTCATGGCGACCTTAAATAATAAAGAAAAATACGTCATCCACTATCGAGCCTTGAAGCAAGCATTAGCCCATGGTCTAATTCTCTCCAAAGTACATAGGGTACTCAAATTTAAACAGTCCCCTTGGCTAAAGTCCTACATTGACCTTAATACAGAACTAAGAAAAAAAGCCAAGAATGAATTTGAGAAGAACTTGTTTAAGTTGATGAATAACGCAGTCTTTGGGAAGACTATGGAAAATGTCAGAAAACGGGTTAATATCAAATTACTATCCCAATGGAAAGGACGTTACGGCGCAGAATCATACATTGCGAAACCGGAATTTAAATCTTGCGCCATTTTTAACGAAAACTTGGTAGCTGTAGAATTGAATAAGCTTGAAATTTATTTAAATAAGCCTATATACGTTGGCCAAGCCATTCTTGATCTAGCCAAGACGACCATCTACAGCTTCCATTATGACTACATGATGGATAGATTTGGAGATAACTGTACTGTTCTTTACACAGATACGGACAGCTTAATTTACGAAATTCGTGAACAAGACCCTTATATGGCTATAAAAAGCGACTGTTTTAAATATTACGATACTAGCGATTATGACCCCAATAACCCATATGGCATACCCCTTGTAAATAAGAAAGTGTTGGGCATGATGAAAGATGAAAATAATGGACAGATAATGACCGATTATGTAGGATTACGATCGAAACTGTACACCACTAAAGTATTATCCACTAAGGACGATTTAATAAAACTACAACAGAAATTGGAAGCGGAGGAGTATGATGAGGATGAAATTGCTACGATTATTAAAAATTATGGTTTGACTAAGAAGGCAAAGGGGATAAAGAAAAGTGTAGTAGAAACTAAAATTACCTTTGATGATTATGTGGAGTGTCTGGAGACCTATAAGCGCAAAACTACATCTCAAAATTTGATTCGTACGGATAAACATCAAGTTTATTCCATAACGCAGTCGAAAATTGCTCTAAGTCCTGAGGATGATAAGAGATACCTGATTCCTGACTCATTTAACACTCTACCGTGGGGCCATTATGCTATCAATAAGCCTCAAGATGTTGAACAGATGGAAGTTGATTAAGGTTGTGATTTTTGATGAATTAGTTACAAATTGTCAAAATCCTAGGAAATTTGTATACAAATTAGGATATTATTTTAGGAATATTCTTAGACTAAAGGTTATTAGCAAACTACCCCTGTATAAAGCTAAAAATAGTAAATTCTTGTATAAATTTAAGATTTCATTAATAAAATGTTAAGGTTCAACTCTGTTATACACCTTATCCTTTGCTAACGGGTTACTACTTATGCGCAAGCAGTACTATTAAAAAGGTAGGCCTATTAGTTATTTTTTATACACCCTGTGTAGAGAAATATCTAATGGGGAATCCTATAACGAGACCGTAAACATCTCCAATAAATTGCATTATTTCTAGTGTGAATTTATTGCCTCCTGGGTGGTCATGGAAAGAGGTGTATCTACCCAATAATAATTTAACTAAAGCTATACAAGGTAGATCGATAATTCGGTAACTTGTTCCTCTTCTAGAATATACGCAGCTAAATGTCCATTTTACTATTCAACCACCTTAAAATCCTGGTAAATATTCCGCTAAGACATATTATACATTTTAAGAGTCTATTTGTAGAACGGCCTCGACCAAATGGAGAATTTACAGTTAGGTATGAATAACAATGCTGTCATCCAAAAAAAATAGGGGCGTTGCCGTCGTCGGTCCTCTTCGACGCAAATTTTATGTAAGTAGAGTAAGCGCTTTAATTGTAATAATAAACTTCAAATCACTATTTCCGCTGTAAATAAAAACACCCTACATTTTGTTTGTTGTTTTTTCCCTGCCCACTCCTGTTCTGGTTATAGGGAACCTACCTCCGATATGGAATTATAGGTAAGAATGAGGGTCCTCGCACCTGTCTCCTGAAATTACAATTTCCTACCCTAGTCGCATCAATCTAATAGAGGGAGTCGGATGAAAATATACCTCTATATGCATTACGACGCCAATAGATGGCGCCTCCGTATCAAATCGCTATTTCAGCTCTAAATAAAAACGCTCTACATTTTGTTTTTGTTGTTTTATTTCCCTCCCCGCCCCTGTTCTGGTTGTAGGTTAGAATGGGGCCCCCTTGTGTATGTCTCTCAAATGGGGGAGCTACCTCCGAGATGGAATGATAGGTTAGAATTCTCCTCCCTTGCATCTCTCTCCTGAACCCTCGTATCTAACCGTTTGATGTCTCATCAATGCCGGGGCGCCGGTTGAAATTATACTTTCCTATACCTATACGAATCCTAATAGATGGCGCCCCCGTACCCTTAAAATAGGTTCGTTATAAATACAACTATCCAAGCATTATACCATAATAGTCTAATTAGCTCAGCGGTTATGCTATAGGACTTGTAATCCAATGGTTGACGGTTCGAATCCGTTCCATTTAAAAAAAATTTTCAGGGTACGAAGGGGTCGAAGTTTGAGGATTCCAAGATGGCGTCCAAGAACTTGAGGATTCCAAGATGGCGTCCAAGAACTTGAGGATTCCAAGAACTTGAGGATTCCAAGATGGCGTCCAAATGACGCCTGCGCAAAGGGGCGGGGCGCGCATGCGCACATCCAAACTGCTCCAAAAACACCCAAATGAACCTTAGAATTCCTTATGGGAAATAACATGGGATTTGGCCGGAAATTGCGCTCGAACCCGTGCAGCTCCTTTACTTGTCAACTTATATATATCGCTTGATTTGCTGATAGGAACACGATTAGTCAGTGAATCGTATTCTTCGTGAAAAGTTTCCATCTGTACAGTTCGGAATATCAAAATTTCAGCCTGTCTTACTTCCTCAACTTTTAGTTCACCTGTATGCAAATTCATGTTGGAAGCTTTAGCTTTTAAATTCTTTACAAAACGTATCATCCAAGCAGCTGTACGTAAAATTTTGAAATAACTCGAGCTATTTGCAAAGTTAAATTGAATCATATTTTCACGAATCATCATAACTACATGTTTTGGTGGTTGTAGTTCTAGGTCTTCATCATTTACTACATGACAATCTGTTTGATGAGGCCATTTACTTTTGTCTTGCTTCAACCATTCTGGTCCGTTTATCCACCTTCGAATAGGTTTGAACTGAGGTGGATAAATGTCACGTGTCGCATCATCAGCAGCATTTTCATGTGTTGAAACCCAGTTCCATTGAGTGGGTTCTGTTGAATCCAAAATTTCACCCACTCTATTAGCAACGAATGTCTTGTATTTTCTTCTGTCATCCTTGATCCAATGAAGTACAGTTTTCGAATCGCTCCAAAATGTCGATTTTGAAATAACAAAATTGTGAGATCTCAAAACAGTTTTATACATTCTAACTCCAAGAATTGCTGCCTGCAATTCGAGCCTTGGGATGGAAAGGTATTTGACAGATGACAATTTACGAGCATATCCTTTCTGCACGTAGCTGACAATAGTTTCCTTGTACTTCATACCGTAAACAGGTTCTTTTTTCATCTTGTTTTCAACATTTCTCAATCGACTGATTGCCATTGGGTAACTATCTGGTAAAACTATGTCATCGTTTTTCCATAATAGACCACTTTCGTAACGACCTTTGACCTTTTTTGTTGTTGATTCCAACAGTTGACGCGCTCGAACCGTTTCAGAAGACTCTCTTGGTGTTGTTGATAGTTCAACACCAAAGTTTTCAGTGGTAAAATAGTCTTTTACAATAGAATGGATGTCGTCAAAGTACCCTCTCACATGAAACATTCTTCCTGGACTTGATTGTATCTCATTGTCAACTGTTCTTCCATAAACTATCCAACCAAGAGGACTTTCTGCAACAATAGGTCCATTTGATGTTTGTTGAATCTTTCTGTTCGATAATCCCAAATGACAAAAGTCCAATCCTATTAATAGCTCTGGTCGGGCGTCAGTATAGCTGGCAATAGGAAGATTTTGTAAGTAGTCATATTTGGAATGAAGCTGATTCATGTCTACAGTTTGCATTGGAAGACAAAGATTGTTTACGGTACACACATTCCTCATCTCAAACACTTCGGCATTGTTATGGATTCCAGATATATTAAATTTAACGATTTCAGTTTCTTCAGAACTACAGTGGTCTCCGAACCATTGGAGATTCAACTTTCGCATAGGTCCCTTCAACTTCAAACGTACAGCTACGGTTCTCTTGATAAGGCTTACGCTTGATCCCTCATCAATCAATGCATACGTGGAAACAACTTCTCCTCTATTGTATAATTTTACTGGAACTACTTTAAACAACACCTTGGATTCATTTGCTTTCAACGCAGCATGACAGGATACTTCCATATTTAAAACCGTTGGCGTAGATTTATTATCTTGACATTCACTGTGTAATTGAGGATGATGAACTCTGTTACATCCATTCTTATTGCAAGACTTTCTAATGCGGCACATTCTAGTAGAATGTCCAAATTTCAAACAAGAAAAACACAATTTCTTTTCTGTTACTAACTTCCATTTATCATCTGTAGATTTATTCAAAAAATCCGGGCAGTTAGCGATGAAATGGTTCTTTTCGCATAAGACACAATTCATTTCTTTCTTACTTGTAACGTTGGAAGTGTGAAGCATTTGATATTTCTTTGATGTCGTCTTTTTCTCTGTCGGAGAAATCAAAGAATTGCACACAGGAACTCTGGCTATGTTGTCGGCTTTAACTTCAATCCAGTTACTAAAATCTAATATAGACGGGACACCAGTCAGTGAGCTAATATGAGAGGCCCATGCAATTCTCATATTCATTGGGAGCTTTAAGATCAACTCATTAAGCAGTGTGGGATTTGCAAGCTGATGTTGACTAGAACAAGTCAACATAAAGTGACTAAAGTTGATCACTTTGTCAGCAAAAGGAATAATCTGTCCCACATTATTTTCACAGATTCCGGGAATGTTCTTCAACATAGTAATTTGTGCGTCCACTAAAAGTTCTGGTCGACCAAACCTGCTATACAATCTCTCCATGATCTTCTCCGCCATGTCGTCATGAATTAATAACCATTGAACAAGCTCACGAGCTTTCCCTTGCAAACTACTGTTTAGTCTCGTTGTATTTTCTGAAGAAGTATATGCAAACTATGTCGTAGTTCTTTTATACTCTGCATTGAAAACCAGCCAGTCACAAGGATTTCCATCAAACTTTGGCAATGCTACTAAATACTTTCTGACAGGTAACGATGGATGCTGTTGCCAATATACAGGGTTATTTGGGTAAACAGAAAAACTAGGAATTGAACATGAAGGTGTTGACTGTTGGTGCGTAGAATTTCTTGTCGGAGTTATCGAAGGCGAAGGCGTATCAAGCTGTGCAGGTAATGTTACTGGGACTGTATTATTCAGTATAGCTGATGATCGAGTTGTAGGAGGGACTTCAATTTTCATCGTTCGCTGAACTTCAGCTAGTTCCACGTTCTCAATTGCTTCCGATAGTGAATCTTATAACTTTTTCAAAGCTGATTTTCAAGGACTGTTCACTTCTTTATCTAATATCGACTGGACATTCCTTCGAAATTATGAAAATGTAGATATTGCATGCTCAGATTTTTATTGTCTGTTCTATGAGTTATGCGACAAGTTTGTTCCACGTACACGACATAAAGGCAAGCGGTTTTTCCCTAAATGGTTCACCCCAACGATCAAGAAAAATATCAAATTAAAATATATACTACTTAAAGAATATAGAAGAAACAACTCCATTATAGCACTGAACCATTATAAAACTTTGCGCAAATTAATTAAATCCCAAATTCGTCTAGCACACAAAGAGTATATAGATAATATTGAAACGTCTCTAGCCATTGACCCAAAACAATTGTGGTCTTTTGTAAAGACCAAAAATAATATTTCTAGGATCCCGGGTCAAATGAAACACGATGACGCACACTTTAACACGCCAAATGAAATCGTCAATGCTTTTATGTCTTATTTTACATCAGTCTACACCAGCTCTACTGGAATGTCTGGGGCAACAAACAACATTAACAACCTCCCGCCTATTCATTTACCCTACATTACCGATGCAATGGTGGC